TTTGCTCCGAGGTTAGAAGCATCAGTATGCCTCAGAGGAACAAGGGAGGCTGAGGTTCCCACTGTCCCTAACTCCTTATAGGAGGGATGTCAGACAAGTGCCAACCCCTAGGGCCTGGCTTTCTACAGCCTGTGTTTAAGGAAGGTAGGGCACCATCAGGAGACCCCGAGTTTGGGGCCAAGACTGGAATGAGTGGTGCTGCCAGGGCATCTGCCCCTGGTCAGCTGTGAGCCGTCCGCAGTGGAGGTGTGGTGTTGAGCCCACTCGCTTTATAACAGGGCTCCCTGTGCTGCGTGGACTATAGCAGTGTCATCACATAACCGTCTCCACCTCACTGTGGTCACCTTTCTTTCCCCTCTGGGTTTTTACTCTGATCCCTTTGTCCATAACAAATGAGCATTGTTGGTCTGAAGCAAAGCTGTTCACAGACACTACCTCATTATTTAGTTAATCTCCTTGCTGTAGCATATTCGGCCAACATTGGCATTTGCCTGCCTGTTAATCAAGAGCCTCTTTTTATTGTCACTTTTGGGAAGAGCTGAATGACTCATTATGCCACAGTCAGCCTTCTGGGGTTATCTGCTACAATAGGCCTGACCAGCCCGATTAAAGTATGCAGTCGCTGCTGGCAGCCTGTGTCATCAGTTCCAGACCCGGTCTCCCGTCAGAGTCCCGTCAGAGTCTAAAGTGACCAGAGCGGGATGACCCGAGGCAGTTCGTGCTGGAGCGGAGCAGTGAATTCAGTGTCCTCTGGAGCCTCTGGGGCCATGCTTGCTGCCTTGTTCTGTGCCTGGTGTCCAATGCTCGGTGACGAGTCTGTGTTACTGCCTCCTTTCTTTCTTAATTTGTCACAGGTGCCTATTTTGTGTTCCGGCTTTGGATTAGTGCCTAGTGCTTAGTAGAGAGTTGGTCTTTGTGAAATGAATAAATATTATATGTGTATGATATGAGCCAGGGACCCTAAGAATGGGGCAAAAGGCTGCTAGTGTGCAGAAATTCACCTGGGAAGCTTATTTCAAATGAATTGTCTCCACCTCATCCCTAGAGATTCTGATTTAGTTCTAACAGGAGGCCAAGGACTCTGCATTTTAAGCATGCATTCAGGTGATTCCTTTTCAGGTAATCAGCATCCAGAAAACAATATCCCAGGAGCTTTAGAGAGATTGGAGGGTTAGGAGGTTTCATGTGGGACATGCAAGACACAACATTGGTGCATTCCATTCCTTTTAGCAGAGAAAGCAAATAGGTTTCTTCTGACAAGCCAGCTCAGATCTGTTCATAGTGGCTGCAATGTTGAATTCTGAAAGTCATGCTCAGCTTGCTGGGAGGACCATGATTACTTACTGATCAGGAATGTTCTCCACGGTGCTGATGGGAGGGTTAGCATATGTACCACACATCTGCTGTCTCAGTGACGTGGACACAGGATTTAGGGACCACTTGTGCAGCTGGCATGGTCCCATAGCATGAGGAAGGCCAGTCAGAATACAGGTAAGTGGTTATAATCCATGGCTACCTTTCCCCATCTTAATATTTTAGAAGGAGCTGCAGAAAGCAGCTGACATTATATGAAATGCTCAGTGAGCAGTTGTGAGAGCACAGACTCTGGTAGTAGATAGAATTCTGCCTTACCACTTGGCAGTTATGTGATGGGCAACTTACTTAACTCTGATCCTTCATTTCTTCATCCGTAAAGTGGGAATAGTACCTACCTTGTAAGGTGGATATAGGGATTAAATGAGGTAAACTATATAGAGCACTTAGAAGGGCACCTGTCTCAGAGAGGATTACACATATCAGCTGTTACTTTTATCATGAGCTTATTGTGATTCACATACAGAAGAATTTCCAACTCTTTGGAGAAGGGAACATTTGGAATCTGAGATGCTCTTCAGGTGGCTAAGATGGGAAATTCACACAAGGAAAGGTGCATCCGAACACTACATAACTTCTTCCTTTTGTAAAAGGAAATGTGTCAGAAAACATGTGTTGGTTTATGTTTTTTGACAACTTATCCCGTGGAGGTACAGGAAGTGGTCCACTGTGTCAGTTATTGACTTTGCTTGAAGCTTTGAAAAGGAAGAGCTCAGCATGGGAGAGGGTGCTACCTGAGACCTAGTTTCTGAAGGAGGTGTTTGGTAGTACCATTGAACCGTGTGGTAAAAATAACATTCAGGCATTTGTGAATGGCTGAGGCTGACCAACAACATCTTTGCTATCCAACCGAGTCTCCCAGGGCAGTTCCAGCCCTTAGCGAGTTCCCCTCAGGCCCAGTGTGCCCACATACGACTCTTACTCTCCAGTTATCTAACTGGGTTTTCACCTAAGTGATAGTAAAAAAAAAAAATTTTTTTATTAACCATGTCTTATTTTTCTGTATTCATTTTTAAAATATTTATTTTTCAACTATAGGTGATATACATTATATTCATTTCAGATGTACAACATAGTAGTTAGACATTTATATAACTTATAAAGTCTTCACCTTGCTATTTCCAGTACCCATGTAACACCATACATAGTAACACCAATATTATTGACTAAACTAGAGGCCTGGTGCACGAAATTTATGCACTTGGGAGGGAGGGTTCCTCAGCCAGCATTGGGAGAGGGTGAAGGTAAGGCTGAAGGACCCCAGTTAGTGCACGATCAGGGCTGGGGAGGGACACAGGAGGTTGGCCAGCCAGGGAGGGACCATGAGAGGGCTCCAGGGCATGTCTGGTCCTTCTCGCTCAGTCCTGATTGGTTGGACCCTAGCAGAAAGCTAACCTAGGAGAATGTGCCCCCTGGTGGTCAGTGCATGTCATAGTGAGCAGTTGAGCAGCCTTAGCATATCATTAGTGTATTACGCTTTGATTGGTTGAACAGACAACCAGATACTTAGCATATTAGGTTTTTATTATATAGGATTCCCTATTTTATATATTGTAACTTTTAAAAAATATATATTTTATTGATGTTTTTACAAAGAGAAAGGGAGAGAGATAGTTAGAAACATTGATGAGAGAGAAACATGGATCAGCTGTCTCCTGCACACTCCCCACTGGGTATGTGGCCACAACCTAGGTACATGCCCTTGACCGGAATTGAACCTGTGACCCTTGAGTCCACAGGGTGACACTTTATTCACTGATCCAAACCGGTTAGGGCTATATTCTGTAACTTTTTTTTATAACTGGCATTTTAATCCCTTCCCCTTTTCACCTAGTCTCTCAACTCCCCTCCTCAACCTCTCAACTCCATCTAGTGACCATCAGTTTTGTTCTCTGTATCTGTGAGTTTGTTTCTGTTTTATTTCTTTTTTGATTCCATACATAAGTAAATTGTATGGTATTTGTCTTTCTCTGTCTGATTTATTTCACAGTATAATACTACCCTGTAGGTCCATCCATGTTGTCACAAGTGGCAAGATTTCATTCTTTTTTACAGTTGAGTAATATTGCATTGTATATATGTACTACATCTTCTTTAAGCAGTTGTCTATTGATGGACACTTAGGTTGTTTCCATATCTAATAATGCTGCAGTGAATACTTGTTTGTTTATTTATTGATGATAGGCACAGGTGTGAGGTGATATATAATTGTGGTTTTAATTTGTATTTCCTTGATAATTATTGACATCGAGCATCTTTTCATATGTCTACTGGCCACTATATGTCCTCTATGGAGAAATGTCTATTTGGTCCTCTGCCTATTTTTTAATCAGATTGTTTTTGGCCATTGATTTGTATGTGTTCCTTGTATACTTGAATATTAGCCCTTTACAGATGTATCATTGGTGAATATCTTCTCACATTCAGTGAGTTGTCTTTTTATTTTGTTGGTTTCCTTTGCTTGGTTTGCTGCTCTGTTGACTAATGAGTTTGCTGACCACTGACCTAGACTATCGATTCCAATAATTACTGGCTGTTGTTGTTCCTTGTGATTAAGCCCTTATCCCAATGGTCAGCAAACTCATTAGTCAACAGAGCGGCAAACCGAGGCTCGAGATTTGCATGTGGCTCATGAGCCTCACTTTGCTGACCTCCGCCGTAGGAGATATACCCCCCAAAAAATGTTGTTTTGAGCAATGTCAGTTTACTGCCTTTGTTTTAGGTGTTTCATGGTTTTTGGTCTTATTTTAATCCAGTTTTAGTTTATCCGTGTATATGATGTGAGAAAGTGGACTGGTTACATTTTTATGGGTCTGCCCAGTTTTTCCAACACCATTTATTGAAAAGACCGTCTATTCCACTGTATAGTCTTGCCTCTTTTGTCATAGATATAAGTGATATTTATTAAGCTTCTGTCACATGCCTAGCATTATTCTGGGTGTTGTGGAGGATACAAAAGAGGTGGCCTATACCACAGATACTCTCAGCTTGTAAATATGCCAAACAGTTAACAAATTAAAACAAAAACATCTGCCTTCATTCAATGCACTGCCTGTGAGGGGCCACAGGGATATCTACAGCAAGAACCTTGGGGTACCCTCTTTGGTATTTCCCAACTGGGTAGGTGAGACATGTATTCAGCTATAACAAGCAGTCCATAAAGAGGGCCTCATGGGTCCTGTAGCAGTTGAGAGAACACTGCAAACTGGGAGGTCAGGAAGGGAAAGGAGGGGCCTGGGCGGGAAGGGTGGTAGAACACAGAGGCACAGATTCACCATGACAGACAGTGACACACAGACCATTTTGGTGAAGTGTGAATCTGCGTGAGGGCTGAGGTTTGGGTGGTGGTGGCCTTTGAATGCAGTTTTGGGGGCTGTTGAAGGGTTCTGAGTAGGAGAGGGACATGACCAGCTGAGCAGAAGTTAGGTGGAGTGATGATGCAGCTGAGCTACCTCGCAGAGGGGAGCAGATGGGAACAGGGCAGCAGTCACAGGCCTGACCTGGTAGAGAGCTCCTACCCAGAGGCACAGACTGGTCTGCCTCCGCGAAGAGACTGATTACAGACGTTACTGCCATGATGGATGTCGCTGCTCCTACCCATCAGTCACCTCTTCTGTGTTTTACAGATTCAGCCAGTTATTGAAAAAACCTTCCCTTTTTCTGAAGTTCCAGAAGCCTTTCTGAAGGTGGAAAGAGGACATGCACGAGGAAAGACTGTAATTAATGTTATTTAAATAAATAGGGTTTGGTGATTACTGGCTCTCTTATTTGGTGAGTGCTGGTGGGCCCAAACTTTTTTCTAGCCATTCCTTTCCAGATTAGACTATAAATTTCATGTTATAAATTGAAAAAAGAAAAAAGCTTTTGCTAGCAATTTCCTATCTTCTAAACTGAGCAGAGATTGATATAAAATCTCTGAGTGAGCCACACCACCACCCATCCCTCTCCCCTGCCCAGAGTGCTTTCTGATGTAACCCATTCCTGTTTGTTGAGAGGTCTGTCCTGTGCCCAGCACAACGGACGCACATGTGAAGACACACTATGAAAATAGCCACACTTGTACTTGTCTATAAAGTCAGTGAAAATTGCATTTTTTCCCCCCAAGCTGTTCTTTCACACCAGATTTGCAAATTGTTGTGGCACCTTCTGTCCTAGTCGCTAAAACGGATTTTACTGTTTTATGTTAGTGAGATGGATGGTGGCAGCAGGAAGAGCTTACTTAAAGCTGGCCCCCTCTTTGGTTCAGCAGTGGGCACGTTTTCCTTTGATTTTTATTCCTCTGCTCTGCTGAGTTCTGAACCTCTTGGGGTCATATTAAACATCTGGCTGTGATTTGGTTGTTTACTCTTAGAAACTGAAAGTGATGCTGAAGTTCCTAACTTTTAAAAACCCTTACATTTTGCATAAGAACTAGACCTCCTTCAACCAGTGAAACATGCTTCTCTGAGGAACTTTCCATGGAAAATTCCACCATTCCACTGGGCCCCCAGTTCTCCAGTTTCTGACATTAAATGCCTGCATTTAGGTATTTCACCCATAAGCCCAGTGTGGCTTTTGAATCTCTAGTCTGTCCTTCATTCATTGCAGGTGAGTGTCGATTTTATGTTGTACTCCTCATGTTACCCTAGACTCTCGCATTTACTTTTGATATACACTGAATGGCCAGATTATTATGATTTCTTACCTCATTTATTTGATATCAAAGATACTATAAGTCATGCACCTGATCAGTTTTCCCCTTTGCACTGGCAGATAGAAAGCTCAGGGCAAATAGGTGGTTGAGCCCCAGCAAAAGTCTAGAATACTTTTGGTACCCATTTGAGATACAAATACACTGAGTGGCCAGATTATGTGTTCAGAGATCAATTTAATCTGACCATTCAGTGTAGACCTGTTTGAGTAACTTTCTATTTAGTTTATTCCTATTAGACACTCATTTAATAGTGTGTTGGATGAGGACTTTTCTCTGGAATTGCTGATCTCACCACTACAGACTTACCTCAAAAGAAAAAAATGTTTTCAGTTGTAAATATGCCACTTTGACTTCCACCTGAACAGTCAGCTTTTTAACTGAGGACTCCCAGGGGGTGGTGCAGGGCAAATTCAAGGCAAGACCTCACCCCCCCTTGTGTCCACTCAAAAAAATGTAGTGCACCCTTTTCACCAGTGTCTGAAAAGGGGAGTCAGCTGACCTTTCCCTGCCGTATTCCAGCCCCCCTGAAACTTGACTTGTCTTAATCAGGCATTTGTTTCTAATCTGCCAGCTGACTCTCTTTGAAGTGTTAATGAGGGCTGCTAACCAATTTCATCAACACAGTTAACCAGAAACAAGTTTATTCAAGAGATAAATTCAACAGAGGCTACTTACTGTAGGATGTCTTACCCCACCACACGGTAATGGATGCACGAAGGCCAAAAATCAGAGCCACACACCTCAGAACAAGACAGACAGACATGCTGGCTGCTGTTGGACATGTACAAACATTACTTTAAAACCAAGATACTACTCTGATGACCACAATTGCTTACCATAGACTCTAGAGAGGATCAACACTTCAGAATGGGAAACAGATGAAAAGGAAACCAAGTTTGTCCTTCCTGTGACAAGAGCACCAGCATTCAGTGCCGAGGACAATGATATGGGGACAGAGCAAAGAAGAGGGAGTTCAAAGACTGTTTTAGCCGTTTTGTTCAAAATGAGCATGCACAGTTTGAACAGCACCATCCAGGCAGTGAATCATCATTTTGAACTTCCATTGAAGTGCTTGCTGAACTTCAGGGTTTTCAGAGTTCTAAGATTTGACAAGCATCATTGAAGGCCTCCTGTCCTTTCCTTTTGGAAGAGAATTGCTGGTCATCCTCCTGAGCCTTCCACACCCCAAATAAGTGACCACAGGGCTGCAATACCCCAAGACCTGGACAGTCCTTGGAGCATGGCCCTTCAACATCACAGGTAAGGTAGCCCCGTGCAGGCCTCCAGCCAGTGCATCTGGATGGGAGGGCCAGGAATTAGGCTACATTACCCGAGTTTAGCGAAAGATCGCATAACATTGCTTCAGAACTAGTTATAGATGAGTGGGGATGGGCTAATAAATTAGGTCATGGTATACTGTTCCAGCAGCATCTATAAGAAAAGCTTTAAACAACATTCGAGGGAAAATCTAGGGCAGCCCATGGTGAATTAAAATAATCCAAATCCTGCTATTAGATGTAAGCAGACATGGACATGAAATTTTTTTTTTAATTTTCTAGTTTTTAATATTAACTAGAATGTTTTATCTGTACTCATTCAGTTCCTTAACATATGTCTGAATATATAATTTCCCACTTGGCTATACAGCATAATTAATGATTTCAGAAAACAGAAGGTCAATGACCAATACTAGAGGCCTAATAACATTATTTCTTCTAAAGTCTAAACAGTTTCTACCTTATGGACTTAAGCTTTTCCCCTTCCCTTTAAAGTGTAAGGCACCTGTAGGTCCACCAAGCCGGTGAATTTGTTCCTGTTCTCTCCCGCCACTGTCTTTGGAAATCTTGTAAAATGTACAGTCTTAACGTCTTAAGATTTTTTAAAAACACCCCAACGCTGCTAATGAAACCTGTTTAAGCAGCTGCTGAAAGGAACTGAGGCAAAAAGTGAAAGGACAAATTATTGGTTTAAAACTATTAGTCTTTTGAAGAGATGAGACAGTGGTCCCGGTCCTGGCACTGTGGTTCAAGAGTGAATTTGGAGTTGCTGAGGAGCACATCCGCTTTCCTCTCGGTTCCTGTCAGAAGTCCTTTTCCCTTTAAACAAGGTAGCTGGAAAACTCCAGAAATAGTCCTCCTGCGTTCTTTGTCCAGGATCATAGGACCATGGCTTCCCACACTTGTGTTAGCTTCTCTTTGCTGGCCGTGTTGAGGATAATGTGATTTTGATCATACTGTGCACCCCCTGAAAAAAAGGAGAACATGAGGAATGTGCCACCGTGAAGGGGCTGCAGACAGTTTACCTCAGCACAGAGTTACGAGTAGAAGTAACCAGGGGCAAAGCCATGTGCCACATGAAACAATGCAGGAGCAGAGCCTTGCTCAGTGCCCAGTCTGACAGGCGCAGACAGGCTCAGTCACTGGGGGTAAATGTGTTCAAGTCCCAAAAGGCACCAGCAGCTCCACTCAGGATCTCCTACTTCCTGGGCTCCTTTTCCTACTCCACAGACATTAAGGTGCCTGATATTGGGGGCACAGGGAAGAATATAGAGAAGGGAAAAGGAGCAGAGACTGAAATATATTCAGTGGTGGGGTCAAGGATTCGAGGTACCAATGAGAAAAAAGCAGGCAGACCTGATATAGCAGGAAGTTTTGACTTCAGGTTAAAGACATTAGTACATCATTAAAATGTTTTTTAAGTGTTTTTCCAAGGCAGTGGTTGGCAAACTCATTTGTCAACAGAGCAGTACACCGCGGCTCGCGAACCGCAGTTTGCTGACTGGTCTAGAGCCTCCACACGTAGGAGTAGCATAGAATACAAGGGCAGTGTGCTTGGGCCTTCTGCGTGTACTCTTGCAGTAAATCCCACTGTGCCCATAGAGACACACAGGGTACTCCATTGAGATTTCTGGAAGTGCCCTCTCAAGGTCCCAATGTCCTCTTTCCCTTCTTCGAGATTATAGTATTTTAACTTATTTTCGAATCATAAAGTTCCTGAGAAGTAAACTGATTCATTCTTCTTCCTTTGGGAGAATTAAAATCAGCCCAGACATCTGATGTTTTTAAAGTGAGCATGAATCAGCGCCTACTATTGTCATGTTTGTGGTCTGGAACAATACACGATTGTCTACTCAAACAACTCACTCCCCAGACACTAGGAGACAGGTCTAATAACATCACTAGGTAACAAATGGTTCCACAGTTATAGCTAGTGAAAATTCGTTTCCTCTAAAGTGCAACAAAGAGGTGTATTTGCATTTCCTTAGCAGTCCATGGGATGTGGCCCTACTTGCTCATGTCCACAAGATGGCACCATTCTCCCACATTCTGAGACAAATTCCGCGTAACAGGTGACTAATGCAGCTACCATACTAGATAGACTGAGCATTCACAAGCACACAGACAGTATCCTTACTCAGGAGGCATTTGGCTAATTTCAAGGCATTTTAGGAAGGGACCCTGGAACTCAAAGTCCTAAGGAGGAACCTCCTAGAGTCCCATAGTTCTTGTCAGAGTAAAACTAGAAGCCAGATGTCCTTACTCCCGGGTCAGTTGTTAATGGAGAAAGTGGGGAAAGTCCTGTATGCCTAGCACTTCTAGAAGGTAAGCCCTCTAAAGCCAAGCTAGTATCTTTCCCCCCATTTTGGTGAGTACCCAGTAAATACAGGTTGAAAGAACAAAAGAAGAAATGCTCCAAGAAGTTACTTATAAGGATTACAGTGGCCCTAGCCCCGGACATGAATCCATGTGTTCAAAAATAATCCACACTTCCAACTTAGTCACTTTTCCTTGGAGGTTTTAAAACTATCTTGTATAGACAGAGAAGTTCCAGTTGAACAGGTTGATGAAAATAATCAAGGAGGGTCTGGTTCTGTAATTAACCAGTCAGAACCTCCAGTTGACCATTTGTAGAATGTCCACAAATGACAGATTTTGTATCCAATGTAATGTGAAGGAGGTGTATTTATATTACCATTCATTTTCTGAATGTTACATCTACTTTCTTATATCTTGCACTGCATGTGATTTTTAGCTCCCATCC